GGAAGTCTACCAACGCTTGGCTTGCGTTGAAGAGGCCTTCCTTGTCGAGAATGTTCAAGCGGTGTTGATGACATGACCTCGAGATTGGATTAATCCATGAAAATGAGTATGAGACCTTGGTATGCGAAGAGAAATGATGAAAGAAAATAATCGAGAGATTGTCTGAGTGTTCAATTTATTGCCTGATCCCTTTGTCGTCCGCGGATCACAGCTCATACTCGAGTTCCGTGCCGTGTGAGTACCGTCGCGGTACCTACGACGCCTGCACTCGCTGTCCTTTGACCAAGCTACCGGTGAGCCAAGGCCAGGGCCGCGTCATGCGCTACCCACAAGTCGGTCTCGATTGTCTCTAATTAAAAAAGCTCAGCTTGCTCAAGGGGGTCCTTGGACGCACTCCTCACGACCATCCAAATGCATTGCTTCCACCATACGCTTTCCGCTCAACGCAGACTGATCTCGATCTTCTTTTGGAGCAAGTTTTCGTAAGTTTCATGCATCCGCACATCTCTTCAATTGTCGATGTTGAATATCTTTTCATGATGAGGAACAAATTTTACTTGAGATTTCTGGATGATGATCTAGTTTTTGTCAAAAAACTTGTGTCAAAAGATTTCACTAATTTTTTGTATTCACACTCTGAGCCCACAAATATCGATCATTTTGATATTGATTTGTTACAGAATACTGACTCGATTTCTTTCATGTTTGACTTGTCTACCTCAGATGACCTTTCGGACTCTGGAACTTATCACCTCGCACCTGATGCGTTCGACTTGTACGTTAGATTGAACTATCTAGGAACAAGTAGAGATTACCGTCAGAAACAAGTGCGTTTCCTTTGCCTTTTTTTGTCTTAATGTATGAACAAATCTTTTGTACCTGCAATACAACAATGAACATCTTCATGAAGTGATTAAAAGACAGCGCAAAGTCCTCAGATATCTAAAGCCATGGCTTTGGGCCATTCGGGTAGACTAAGACCTCACAATTCTTTGGACTTGAACTTCGATGAGTTGCCACAACGCAAGAGCTACAAATTCGTAGCCATCATTTGGAACCTTTTTTTGAGTTCTTTGCTTCAAAAGAGTTGGTTTAACTCATGGGTTTGGCTTGATACCTTTGTTTGAGTTTACTTTATTGAAACCTCTTCACCAGGTTGATGCGCACAAAACCCAACAAAGGATTTCTGATAAGTTATGTCAAATAAGAAAATGGATTACATCGAGTTCATCTTGAGTAAATAATTACAAGCGGGAAAAAAATCACAAATAGGTAGATAAGCGGTCTAACTGAGGGGAAAAGGATATATAGAGCAAAATCAAGGGCTAGCAACTGAGTTATATTTGAGGAAGGGAGCCAGGTCTTCGAGAGGAAAGATTCAATTCGGGAGGAGGAAGGGCAGTAGAAGGGGTGATTTGTATTGGGTTCACAAGATTTTGATATGATTCACGGATCACTCTATGAAATAATTTTCTAGAATTTGATTCTTGCTGTGGGCAAGGACTGAATTCTTCAAAAGTATCAGTCATTTGTTGAATAAACTCCATGAATGCCGCTCTAATACGATCGATGTAAGTTTTATTGACTGGATATGATGCACCTACCATTGCAATTTCTAAATCTTCAGACGGCTTGTGATCTAGGTAGTCGTCCGGAATTTTAACTCTCGCGTCTGCTCCATTTTTTGCAAAGGAATGTATCTTCAAATCTGCTGTCTGAACTTTCTTTTTCGGTAAGTTGGATGTATGCTCTTGTTCTTGTCCCTCTCCCTGAGGTGATCTTGCCCTCTTTTTTCCTTCTTTGATTGCTTTGCGATCCAGCTCAGGTTGATCAGTTTTGATAGACGTAGGAGCAACAGAACTCGATTTGTATTGTGGATTGGCAGAAGAGTCTGATTGTTCAGCAATGATGGCAGTAGATGATTGAGGAGCGGTTGCAAAAGCGATAAAATCGTCATCAAAGTCAAGGCTTAACGGCTCAAAGCTTTCCAAGTGATTGGATGAGGCGATGGAAGGGCTAGGAGTAGCCTGAGGCATATCAAGAGACAAGCAAAGCGAGTTTTGATCAGCACTGGTAGAAGCACATTGATCATTTTTCGATCGTTCCGGATCTGGTGAATGTGGTCGGTCGGTAAAGGTATCAGAAATAGGACTTTCGGGAAGGAAAAGAGGGATGTGAGATGATACATGAGCTTCAGGATTGGTATCAATCATGTTTGATTGAGATCTCAATGCTAAAGGTACGCTTGACGCTTGAGGCTGAAGGACCAGGGAGCGGCCCAGGTACTTCGTGACTCGGCTTGCGGTGAAATGGAATGGGCCTTTTATCTCTTTGAGCAGGTTGACAATTTGAGTTTCGAGCACAAGTAGTGCGATCTTTCCAGGGTAGGAAGGGACCCTCTATAGTCGGGTAAGTTGGTCTTCATCAGCATATATTTTACAGAATGCGAGAAGTATGAACAAGATATTACCACATTTGCGTTCGTAAGTAAGGCATTCATCACAGCCCTTTAGCGCATGCATACGGAAAGTTTCCCAATTACAATTATGCTTCAATTCCCGGCACTTATTGCAGTCGTGACTTGAAATACGACGTTCTCGAAAAGACATGTGATGGTGTTCGTTTGTACGATTGGAAGCCGGTTGATTAGATGATATGTCTTCAGTGACTCGATTTCTGATGAGAAGATAAAAAACGCGGCTTCCTGAACCCAAACAAATACTCTTTTTAAGTGGGGCGGACCAAGGAACAAGGGGTAACTGTGAAGCAGAATAACTGCTATGTTTGCGGAGCGCTGCCAGTTTGAACAGCTAAATGTTCAACAGCTGCCCAATAAAACTCATGCTGAGCGCTGAAGGAATTCGAGAGAAGTTTACGAGAAGAGCTTGAACTGATACTGCCGAATACCTCTCAGCTGGACAGGCATTCATGAGGTCCTAGGAGTCAAAGGCCAAAGTACAACCATCGACCAAGCTTTGCTAGACCGAGCTCAGCACCGGAGCCTCAGATGTATACGACCTCCACATCTCTACAACTCAAGCTCAGTTGGGTGTTGGCTGATCAAAATCGGGGCGCGGACTCCCCGATTCTCTTCGTCGTCTAGACAAATGTTCGATCTCTGTGTCTGCACTTTTACTTGAGTCACTCAAGCTGACTGAGCGATGATGCGTGAAAGATCAGCAAGCTCAAGATTGGTGGCAGGGTATGGATTCTGGAAGTCTTGGTTTGTTGAGATTTTCCTAAAAAAACAGATGGTGCTGGGTCCCTATGTCCCTCAATTGTGAGCTTCATACGAGGTTATCCTCTTCTGCTCATCTTACCTTCAGGAAGAAAATGACCACGCTTCTCAATCTTACAATAATCAAACAGGCACAGACAGATGAGTCTGAGTCATATCACACGAGAAGTACATCTAAAGCTCAAGGTCTCCGCGAAACGATGAGGATGTAAGATTTTCAATACACTGTATCACAATTCCCTACCAAACGATTTTTTTGCCCTTGTAATCGAGAAATTGACCGCCATCCCCTTCACCCAAACGACTGATGACACTACAGAGTTGTTCGACAGCTACCTCAGTATCATGAACTCCCTCCTTACTACCAGCTTTGTCTTTTGACACAAAGTCCTTGGACAAATTTGTACCCGCAACCGTACCCGGATGTAAAGCTACAGTAACGGCAGGAGCAGTAGAGCGAGCATTAGATAGCTCTCGTTGTAATGTAACTATGATAGAATTGAGAGCACTCTTGGAAGCGCGATAAGAATACCATCTGATCGAGATAAATAGAAGCTGTCAGCTTGTTGTTCTCCTAAAAAGTGAAAGATCAACGTACCCTCCAAGAGTATTATCCCCGATACTACCTACTCTGGCACTCATACTTGCAAGAACATGTATGTTTGGTTTAATCAATCCTTTGGCCGGATCTTGATCACTTTGGCTGTCTTGAGTGCTTGACGATTTAGGTGGAATTAGTGGAGCAAAGTGCTTATAGGTCAACAGGTGACCAAACGTGTTGATCTATTTAGCAAAATCGGTCTAGTGGATGTGAGAATATTGTTTCCATGGTTCTTGACACCGAGAGAAGAACAACTGAATCTACTGCTTCTGAGCTTACCTCAAAAGTTCGTTTCATATCCTCAACATTGATTTGTTGGATCGATTTCTCGGGAAGTAGCTGAGATCACACATGCACCTCAATAGCGATCAGATCAAAGTTTTTTCAAGTGTAGCGATGCTGAACAGCACCTTTGTCAAGTGGAAGAAAGCAATAACTTACCACACCTGAGACATTGATCAAGAGTCGTAGCTGTCGCCCGAATCTGTCCTTGACCAATCCAGCAGCTTTTTCGATCGTGTCCTCGCGTCTCACATCCAATTCGACTGTTGTTAATCGATCATCAGCGCTCTTGAGGTCAGAAAGGATCGCTTCACGAGCTTGTTTGGGGTTTTGTGAGGTCGCCACCACGTTCAGACCTGTGTTTTTGAGGATATAGCGAGCAAAAGAAAGTCCAATGCCTCTGTGCACTGCTAATCAGTTTACGCGACTAATACGCGTCTGAAGAAATTTTTGACCGACTTGGAGGAACCTTGTATGACGGCAACGTTAGCTACCATGTTGAGAGGAACTATAACCGATTGGTACTTCAAGAGGCTTCAAAAGTACCTTGACGCTCTTGAGGCCAGTCACGCATCTAGAAGCGCTTTATATGCAGGTCGTTCGCCGTGTCCACAAAATAACGTCATCGTTGAGGTGACGTCATCGCTCGATAAATCACCCTACATAGACTCTGTAGGGATCTCCATGTCCATGTTCATGAGTGGGAAACGGTAAGTCTCGCTATGTAGCAAGTAGCGTAGGCCCATTGGTATCTCTTCGGCCTGACTCCTGTTACTTATAAAGGCCAGAATCAACAGCACATCGGATGAAAGTGACGGCTGGATCTGCATAATTCTGATTTCAGTTTTGGATACACCTTACCAGGCTGCGGGTCACGTGAGCGTGATGGCGCAGCTGGTAGCGCGCTGGGCTCATATGGTCATGTGACTTTGGAACCCAGAGGTCGTCGGATCGAAACTGACTCCCGCTAGCAAGAATTTTTCCTTCAGGACCCCCGGATGCACATCATGGCAATGGCTGTAAAATCGCGGAGGCAGGCTATTTTTGACAAGATCGCAACCCCGTCAAAATTTGTATTGGCGATGCACGGTGTGCTGGTGACAGTGGTCATCAAAGGCACTTGTTTAACTTTGAGTTGAAGTGCGTTTCATCGCGGTTTCAACCCCAGTGACACCAAGCGAAGGTCAGGTTCATCTTATATCAGATCTCGACCCAGAAGCAATTGGACAAGAGAAGACTCGCCAAAACTAGAAGCTGAAGGATAAGCAGAACAAAAACACATTCACCATACTCGATCTGTTTGAGTTGAATGATGGTTGATAGGCTTACATATCTTTGACAAACTCCTATATAGGGTTGAAGTTATCGCTACCGATGGAGCTATAAAACTTGGATCTCTGACTGAATATGAGAGTTCATGATTGGTAAATCTGAAGACCATCAGATTATGCTGGAGCAAGGAAGACAGATCCATGGAATTGCTTTTCGTGAGTCCAGCATATCCGGCAACCCGTTAGGCCTGGGCTGACTAACTGACGCGATGTGCGATGCAACGTTCATCATACACCTCAGCCCTAAGTGTTTCTGCGCCGGGTGGTTTGCCCACGCCTGTGCATGTCGATGAAAAGATGGTGGATAGAAACAATTTAGATTGCCGATGACCGCTTGTCGGCATGTACTTCATTTCAAAGGGACGAGTCTTCCTTTGGAGCATTTGAGTTCAAAATAAGTCTTTTTGATCTCCTTCAGTGTAAATTATGTACTGTAAGCCAGTGAGCGAATCCTCTTTGCCAGAAACCGGGGGGATATTGTAACCTAACTCGGGGACATCATGCCATATCATGCCAAATGAGGTGAAATGTACCCTAGGCCTCAGCATCCTGTTTGCGCGGCTGTGGGCTCATGCGCGTCATGTCCGGTCTCATGAGACATAGTGCTGACCAATTCCATCAGTGTCATTCGCCTTATGTATTTGCCCGTGGCCTTGGATTATGCATAAAAGGTGGCCGAAACTACGATGTAAGTGTACATCTCAAGTCCACACATATATTTCCTATGTATTTCGTTAAAGACTCTATATACAGTTGATCCAGCCTAGTCACGACCACGATCGCTCCGCAAAAACGAAATTTGTTTACACAATTTTATACACACCACACCCATTAATAAATGACATGTAACAAGTCATTTTTGGGTTATAGATAGGGCGTGAGTTTCAGAAATGACTCGGCAAGTCCATCTGATCCGCCAATTTTTTTTTAATTTTTTTTTTTTTTCTCAAATCCCCATATTTGGGTCGGGGTACCTAAGGAGTCTAGTATTAAGTACCTAAGTACCTAGCTTAAGAGCTTAAGTACTTAGCCTAGGTAAAGTTGCTACTTAAGCTCCTACTTAAGTACCTTAGTACACAGCCCAAGCACGGCTCAGCATGAGATCGGCTGAGCGCGAGATCGGCTCAGTGCAAGTATCGGTCATGGCGATGCATCGACTGCTGAACACCAAGGACGGATATCTTGTATATACATGGAGACAAACAAATGAGACAGAAAAAGAAAAAAAAAGTGAGAGTAGCGAGGTAAGACAAGAAAAGCCCTTTAAGGGTTACACATCATGCCGAACTTCATGACATCGTTACGCGGTATGCATCGATGCGAGCGATATCTTTTGGCCACTTTTTCAGCTTGTAGACCAGTCAGTCCAAGTCTTGATTGTTTAGGATAAACATGTATCAGTGATGAATGGCGAGTTAAGAAAACAAGAAAATGAACTCACCGATAGACATCCATATGTCGATCGACTTTTCGAAAATACTTTCGAATTGTTGACACCGGACAGCGCTTGCGGATGTCCTCAAAGAGGGCTTTCGAGTCTTTGAAGGATTTGCATCGGAAGCTTTTGGTTCGATAGTCTACAAATCGAGATCTGGTCAGTCAAATAAGCGAAGCGATGAAAAATCTAAAGTACTTACGGTGCTTTATGAATGACCAATAGAGCTCTATTGGGTTCAGTTCACAATGGAACTTTGGGAGGAAGAGGCATATATGGCCAGCTTCCTCAATTATCATTTGGAGCAGCGGCTTCTCGTTCATGAAGTCGGACTGCAGGCTCAGTATTTTGGATGCACAGCAGATTAGATCTGTGGAGTTGTTGATGGACGGGGTGACTTGGTTTTCACGCAGCTCAAATTTATCTTGTGTTTCCTTATTGCGTTGTAATCTTTCTTCTCGAGCAGCCAGATCACGCTTAGCACCGGATAATTTACATTTGGAACAACGGAGGACGGGTTTGTTTCCTTGTTCGTTAGCTTTGACTTCGTAGAAATCCCACAAGCCACGCTTGGCAAGAACACAACGAACGCCTTTTCGTTTTCCAGCGAGTTTGGGATCTGGATGGTTGATCGGGTGGACCATTTGTTGAGGTAAACCTTGTAATTCGAGTGGGATTCTCGGATCATCAGTTGGGATGGTGGTGTCTCGTAAGGGTGGTTTTGTGCCTCCAGGAGCGAGATTCATGTTTGAAACTCGCAGGGCGGAGGGTCCATAAGATTCGTGTGCCGAAGAACAATCGAAAACAAAAACTCCCTGTGCTTTGGGGAAAAGATACTCAAAGATGGGAATTGCACGTTGCTGAACTTGATCGATGAGTTGCTTGCAGTCCCACCAAGGATCACCCTTGCTACCTGGGTAAGTGACTATTGCAGCATCAGTGACAGGAGGCAGCTGGCTGTCTCCACGTACATCATTTGGTGTGATTTCAAATCGACCAGTGCTGGTGGCTGGTGTAATCCAGTCCGAATCGTGAATGAGTCGGCCATCACTCTTCTTGCGTAGCTCCTGTGTATCGTCTTTGACCCATGCACGTTTAGCTCGCTCGTTAGCGTGTACAGTTGACTCATCATGGAAAAGGAAGACTGTTTCCTTCTGATCTTGAAGGATGAGAGGGTCGGGCGGAATTGAAAGCTCAAGATCGTTGCCATAGTAGGTTCGAGATCGCTTCTGAAGCTGAGCCATGACTTCAAGATACTTATGACAAGACTCGACTACATCAGGCCGTTCATGACCATCATAGTACAGTCCTTTACTGTATTCTCGTGCTCGAAAACCTAAACAATGAAGCCATCGATGCGCAGTGTTGAGGCATATCGTTTTTTCAAAACCGTGCTCACGTAGGGCAACAGTGTTCACATGATGAAGCAGCGATAAAGGAGTAAGCTGGAAAATTTACAATTAGAAACAAGTTTCCGTAGGCCAAAAGCAAAATGAGAGAAGGAAACAAAACATACCTCTCCAGGTTGTTTAGATACTGCCCAAGAATGAAGATGATTGAAAAGCTTTTCGTTGTCAAGCATTGAAGAGTGAGTAGAGGCAAAACCTCTCTGACTAAAGAGCAAGTCTCTGTGTTTTGAAAGATGCACAGCTTGATGTCGTATCAACTTTGCTCGACTGGCTCCGGTGGTTGGTTGATTGACAGTATTTGTGTTTGATGGTCGTCTATGTATTGATGATGCTGAAGTAAGGATAGAGGCAGTGACAGCAGGATTTTTATCGCCATTCAGTGTGAGCTTGAGTCGCCGTGAATTGTACTCTCTGAGGTCGTCAATAAGAGAAGATGGGTATGTAAACTTTGGATCTTTGCTTGCGTATTCCTTGTACTGATCTGAAACATATGTGATATCCGCTTCTAAACTCTGATATCGATCCTGAGCTATCTGCTTTGCAGCTTGAGAGACAGAGAGTTTGATCTTCCCGGATTGATAACGATCAACACATTTGTCAATCCACAAGTTTTTCAGATCTTCATCGGTCCTTGAGTCTGATACATCAGCAACCAAAGAGTGGTTGTCTTCATCATCAGATACTTCCGAGATCTCAGAGGGTACAGATGGTTCGTCTTCAGATGAAGAGGGAGTTGTTGGAGTTGGTGCTGGAGCTGGCTCTCGGATGATCCACTTAGCAAGGGTATTGTTTCCCTTGCCAATAGCCTTTTCACGTATCAATCTGTATCGTCTCTTGGTTTCTTTTGGTATTTCACGTGGTGCAAGCTTGTTTGAGTTGGGCTGAATACACGGCTGCTTATAGCCTTTGAGAACTCGACCGTTCTTGGTTTTGCGTTTACCACCAGTTGGTTGGTAAGGACAAGGGCGGGTAAAAACTGGGAATAAGGCGTTATTGACAAGGTCGTGGTCACATGCTTCTTCATCGGAGGAATCAGCAATGTTGGGTTGTGCATATAGTGGAACTCCTAAGGGATCCATATCATCCTCCTCGGTTTGATAATCTGGATCGATGGCCATCCAGTAGGGCTCGGAGGGTTGGAGGACAACAGATGGAGGAGGCTGGGGAGATTGTGAATTCTCAATTTCGGAGTCAGAGTCGGATTGAATTGTTATGGGAGGGTGTGAGGATGTTATGATCTCTGAATCAACAACTTTTTCGCAGACAAATTGAATCTCTGAATCGCCAGCAGGTTGATCTTCCAAATTAGAGTCCATTAAAGCTTCTTCTGCGAGTTTGGCCATGCGAAAATTCTTCCATCGTCTTGATTGAGCTCTTGAAGCGTTGCTTTTCTTTGCCATGATGCCTATAAATCAATTGAGAGTGGTGGTTGACTGAATCAGAAGTGAAAATAAGGTGGGCGGGGGACAAAAAACCTCTGCAAAAAAACCACTAGGGTATTACTGGGCTCTTGGAAATTTGGGTCCCGGGGCCGGCCCCGGGGCCGGCCTGTGGTCATGACTAGGCTGGATCAACTGTAGTAGTGAGATGACTTCTGACGGTGAGATCTAACTTCGTATGTGAGTGTGCTATATCTGGATTTTCGCATCTCGTCATTATCGACTTGAGAGTGAGGTTATCACGACAAGATCCCATGGTCTCTCGTCCAATCACGGCCAACTCCGCGTTAAGCCCTACTCTCCACCAGAAATTTGATCTGATATTGCAAAAAAGGTTCAAGTGAAAGAGAAAACAA